TTCTTGTCCTAAATCTTACATCTATAAACTAATGTTTTACAAAAAGAGGCAAACACATTTTTGATGATTTATGATTTACATACATTTTTACAGTCATTTCCTGTTTGCTTATTTCAATTGTCAGTGAAGAGCTTCACATGTGATCAAGGTAAATATCACTTATTATCACTTACAGAATATTTAATTGTGCATCATTTCTAATCAAGCTGAAATTTGCCTGATTATACAAAAAGTGTGAAAATACTAGCCTGTTTTTTTATGTTATTTAGCGAAAAAAGAGCCAGTCAGATAAAACGAACACGGCATTGGCTGTAACAGTGAGCTTGAGCTTTAGGCAATATTTAAATGAGAGTACTGAAGGATTACAGTACCATGCATTACTCAATTTGTTGGTTTTGTCAGTGTCAGATGTGTATAAACTTATCAATAACAGAAACATGAATTTAATTACAGGGTTTATAATTTCAGTCTTACAGGAGGGCTGTATTTGGATTAAAGCCTGGGCGGGTTTTTAGGGTGAGGCATCATTTATTAGAAAGACACCCATAACAGACAATTCATTCACCTCGGACACAAGGGAAAACTGCTGATTATTCTAGTTAAAGCTTTTCTTGAACGCTGTTCGTTAGAGGTACTTTTCTATATTTAAATAGAACCAGCAGATTTTTGTGTGTAGCGATGAAGAAGATAATACTGTTATTTAAACTATTGCCATTTCTTGCTCAGCTTGTGAAAATGGAGCCTTTGACTGCAGCAAACACACAGTTCTCTCTAAACCTGTTCAAGAAGATCAGCGCAGGAAACACATCAGGAAATGTGTTCTACTCTCCTGTCAGCATCTCCTCGGCTCTCGCCATGGTGTCGCTCGGAGCAAAAGGAAACACAGCGGCGCAGATGTTTAAGGTGATCTCACACTTATGCATTTTTTATGGCCAGTTGTTTTTCCTTTTATCAACAAGAGAGAAGTGGAATTTCAAAAATGTATTATTAATATAATCTATTTTTGTTCCAATTCTGCATTCATTCAAATGGAATTCAAATTCAGGAATTGGAATTTAAAGGAATTCTGAATTCCATTTGGAATGCTGCCACATTCCTGCACTGAGATGTGACTAATGTGGGAATTTTCCTGGGATAATGAGCTTTGTGTTTGTACAGACAAGACAATCGTGGTCTCATGTTGCAGTTTCACTTAAAGGGCAGGACACAGAAAAAGATGGTCATTCTGGGTTGGGCTGTTTGGTTTTCAGATATGACTAAATGCTCAATCTGTGTCGTTTCAATTTAATAAATAACAGGATAATACTAACGTGTGTGGAGTAAATCATGATGGTGGTTGCTGCACTATTTTAAACTATTTGAGCAGTGCATTCACAATAGATGTTTAAGTTATCAGGATAGCGAGGTTGCCTTTATTAATAATACTACAAAAATGCTGTGTAGGTTTTGGGTTTTAACAATTCTGCCAAACCTGATGTCGGGACTCCAGCACCTCATCAACAAGCCCAGAAGCCCCAGATGCCCTGCGGCGTCAAGGGTCAACATGAACCAACAATGACGCAACAAACCCAGAAGTTTGAGATACCTGCCGAACTCAAGGTTTAGTATGAGTATTTACATGAAACACTGACCTCACGACTTTACTATTGCAATGTATTTGCTGTAGTGGTGCATGTAATCTTGGGGATTAAATTTGATATAATTGATGCAAACAGAAATCTCCTGCTCAGCCCACAACTGGACAAAAAACTGAGGAGCAAATTCATTCCAGCTTTAACAAGTTTATGAGTGAACTGAAGAAACCAGGAGCCCCATATGTGTTGAGTCTTGCCAACCGCCTCTACGGAGAGCAATCCTACCAGTTTGTTGAGGTAAAACTCAAAGCAAATAATTCAAGGTTCTGGAAATGTCCTCAACTCTAATTTCATTTGCACTCCAATCGATTTGCTATGTTACAGAAATTCCTTAATGATGCAAAAAAATACTATGAAGCGGGACTGGAGGAGGTGGACTTCACGATGAAATCAGAGGCTGCACGACTTAACATCAACAAATGGGTGGAGAAAAACACACAAGGTGAAAACCAGCATTAATCTATTCTCAATTATAAAATTATCCAACCAGGCCAGTTCAAACAAATGCTCAAAGTGACCAATGTACATTCGTATTTTAGGGAAGATCAAGGACTTGCTCCCACAGGGATCCATCAATGAGATGACGAGACTGGTCTTGGTGAACGCCATCTACTTCAAGGGGAACTGGGAGAAGAAATTCCCAAAGGAAGCCACCAGAGATGGGCAGTTTAAGCTGAACAAGGTGAGATTTCATGTTCTTATTTTCTTTTTGAAATACAGTCATTTAAGTTGCTCATGCAATAACAGTTATGAAATATGAGTTGTGACTTATTTCCATTAATGCTTTGCAGAATCAAACTAAACCAGTGAAGATGATGCAACAAAAGGCGCAGTTTCCTCTGGCTTTAATCCCAGAGATGGACAGTCAGGTTCTGGAGCTGCCGTATGTCGGGAAGAATCTCAGTATGTTGATCATCCTTCCTAACGAGATTGAAGACGAAACCACTGGCCTTCAGAAGGTGAGACAACAGAGATTCTGCTCCCAAAAGGGGGTTTTCACAGAAAAGCCATTGAAGATCCATCTTGGGTTCCCCAAAGAACCTCTAAATGAACAGTTCTTAAAAGAACCATTCTTTCTTAGTGTGAAGAACGTTTTAATAATCTAAAGAACCTTTTGTGGAATGGAAAGGTTCCAGAGATGCTAATGGTTCTTGTTACGACCCACTCGTTTAAGATTGCAACATAAAAGAGGGATCAGACAACAAAGTCTAATCAAAGCAAATTGTTTTATTACATTAAACTATTACAACAACAATTAATAATGACAAACAATAAATGTAATACAGTTCGTAGTCACGGGAAGAAGGAGGCGGGAACCGGCGAACATTTAAATAAAATTTTAATAATAAAATAAAAACAAAACAGCGAGAAAGCCCCTCGCGGACGACTGTCGCGCACAAACAGAACCAAAACACAAAATAAAATCCAGGCCTGGTCCTCTCTCATCCATGGGCCTCACTCTGTTCCCACGGCTCTCGGCCCCGCCCCTCTTGTCACAATAATCTAGGGGTATTAATGAAAATAATTAAATTAATATAACAACAACAAAACTTTAACTACATAATATAAGAAATGCCAAAAGAAACAAACAAGAAAAGAGTCAGAAAGAGACACTCCTGAGAGAACTATCCCACTAGAAGTGCCTCCCCAAATAACTCAGAACACTCTTAAATACTCAAACTAAAAATCAATTAACAGGTTGACAACCAATCAAAATCTTCCACTCTCTGCTCCAATAGGATCAGGAGACTCAGGGTCGTCACATTCTTAATTGAACCAAAAAAGATCCTTTATTTTTAAGAGTGCACTGTAAAAAAAATTCCGTAAAATTTACAGTAAAAATTTTACCTTAAAAAATATGGTAGCAACGTTTTAGGTTTTACGGTTTTAACTTAAATTTACAGGTAAATACCGTAATTTCATTAACTGATATAATGTTAATAAACCAACCTATTGAAGTACTGAAATCTGTTTTGCACATTTGTAATACACTGATAACCACCAAATGCAGGCGGTGATGAGAAAGTCACATGATGAACCAAAGCCCATCACAAGCAGCTTTTAAATAATAACATATATAGAAGGTGCACAGTGTCATTCACACAAACACTAAACACCATCACGGTAACACACATGAAACTGAAATCATACAATAAACATTCATTTAACAACATTAGGTGTAACACACAACCCTCATATACAAAACTGATAAGAAAAAAACAAAGAAGAAACATAGTTATTTAAAAAAAAAAAAAAAATCAATCAAATATGAAGTGTCATGCAGGGAATTCTGGTAGTGTTAATTTACTTTTTTCACTGTACAATTTTTATGTCTCATCCAGCTTGAAAAGGCACTGACCTACGAGAAGCTCATGGAGTGGACCAAACCCAGCAAGATGCGTCAACAGGAAGTTCAAGTATTTTTGCCCAGATTCAAGATGGAGGAAACTTATGACATGAAGAGTCTTCTGCGCAGCATGGGAATGGAGGATGTGTTTGATGGGCAGAAGGTGAATCTTTCAGGCATCTCGCCTAACAACGACCTGGTGGTGTCGAAGGTGATTCATAAAGCCTTTGTTGAAGTAAACGAGGAAGGAACCGAAGCGGCTGCAGCCACCGGTGCTGTCGTCGCCATACGTTCATTTGCACAGATGTTTATTGCAGACCATCCCTTCCTTTTCTTCATCCGTCATAATCCCTCCAATAGCATCCTGTTTTACGGACGCTTCTGTTCGCCTTGAAGATGGTAATAATGAAATAATGATTCTGGCTGCATGTGTTCCTCTAATAAATAAAGTCTATTAAATAATTGAGTGAAATTGTCTGTATGCATTTATTTGACAGCACTGACTCTTGATTTCTGGTACAAAAATAGGCATAGATAGATCAGGTTTGATTTCAATTAACTTGCATAGTTATATACAATACATAATTATTAGGCTATATGACTATATAATTATATCATTTTACAGCACTTAAAATTCCTAAGTATTGCACAGTGACACCTACTTTCAGCTGGGTTTTACACACATTATGATTAAGAATGACTAATTATGAGTAATGCAGTTATTAATCTTTCTTTAGTCCAGGTTTGTTTCTTCTGCTACACATACTTTTATTAGATTTTTATTTAGGATAAACAAAGAGTAAGAGCAAAGAGCAATCCATTCAAGTTTGATGCTGTTCCATGAAGATAAACCTATCAATGAATAATAGAAACATTTTTTTTTTAAATAATTACAGGGGAATTTTAAAACTGAATTTACAGGAAGGCTGGACTTGGATTAAAGGCTAGTCATTTTAGGGTGAGGCATCATTTATTAGAATGACACCCATAACTGTTGATTCATTCATCTCAGATACACTCAGGATACTTGTTTCATTTCCTCTGATTATTCCAGGTAATGCTTTTTCTGAACTCTGTTTGTTAAAGGTGCATAGAACTAACGAGATCCGTTCACCTTCAAATCTGCTGTTATTAAACAACTGCTATTACTTGCTCAGCTTGTGAAAATGGAGCGTTTATCTGCAGCAAACACACAGTTCTCTCTAAACCTGTTCAAGAAGATCAGCGGAGGAAACACCTCAAAAAATGTGTTCTACTCTCCGATCAGCATCACTTCGGCTCTGGCCATGGTGTTGCTCGGAGCAAAAGGAAACACAGCGGCGCAGATGTTTAAGGTGATCTCACACATGTGTGCTTTTTATGGCCAGTTGTTCAGAATTCAAATTATATATATATATATATATATATATACAACTCTGTGTAGGTCTTGAGCTTTACCAATCCTCCCAAACCCGGCGCCGCAACTCCAGCTCCTCATGTTAAAGAGGACCAAATTCATTCCAGCTTCAACAAGCTCATGAGTGAACTGAAGAAACCAGGAGCCCCGTATGTGTTGAGTCTTGCCAACCGCCTCTACGGAGAGCAATCCTACCAGTTTGTTGAGGTAAGACTCAAAGCAAATAATTCAAGGTTCTAGAACGGTTCTAAACTCTTATCGGTCATTCCATGTCAAATTAACCAAATTTCATAAACTCCCCACAGCTAAAATTTTTGATTTTGTTAATATTTTTTTTCTGAAGTCAGACACACATAAATAGCCAAAATATTAAATGTCATGGATGAATATTTACAGAGTAATACACTATTTTGTAGCGAAGGTAAAAAGGACAATTTTCAGCTGAGATTTGAAACCAAATTACATGGCGGTATAAATGACTTTATAAAGATGGCAGCATCAGTATTTTATTTTTACAGAGAGATCTATTTATAAAATCAGTCGTCTTTAGCTATCTTTGTTGCATTATATGCCAATAGTGATAGCTCAAAAATAGAAAAAGGCACTTTGAAGTTTTTTTTTTTTGAGTGTGCATGCCTGTAACTCAAGAACAGAGTTGGGTATAACGCATTACTGTAATCAAATTACTTTTTTCTGGTAACGCAGTAATGTAATGCATTACATTTTAAATTTGTGTAATTTGATTACAGTTACTATATAGTCAATATAATTACGTTACTTACGTTACAAATGTAGTGTTAAGAAAAAAAATATTTATATGCCTTTTAAAATCACGTTTTGCGCGGGGTCCACGAAGGCGCTGGCGCGATCACTTGCATTTTTTCCTGAAAACAGCTAAAAGAACTGAAAATGCGCCTCTATTTTTGATTGTACACATAAGTGTAATACATCATTTGAATCTGTGAAGGGTCTACTTTTATTTATTTTTTATTAAAGATTGTGCTTTTGTAAAATAAAGAAAACACAGGGTGTGCTTTCAGCTGTCTCAGTCTCCGCGAATGTCTTTCTGAAACGCGTCACTAAAATGAACCAAAACCCAGCGAATACTTCACACACAGACATGAGAAACATATCTTTGGAAAGCTTGAAGTGTCTACTTTTAAATGAAGTGAAGTGACATGTGGCCAAGTATGGTGACCCATACTCAGAATTAGTGCTCTGCAGTTCTCCATCCAAAGTGCACACACACAGCAGTGAACACACACACACACACACACACACACACACAAACCGTGAACACACACCCGGAGCAGTGGGCAGCCATTTATGCTGCGGCGCCCGGGGAGCAGTTGGGGGTTCGGTGCCTTGCTCAAGGGCACCTCAGTCGTGGTATTGAAGGTGGGAGAGAGCGCTGTACATTCACTCCCCCCACCTACAATCCCTGCCAGTACGAGACTTGAACCCACAACCTTTGGGTTATGAGTCCGACTCTCTAACCATTAGGCCACGACTTCCCCTTACTTATGAAGTAAGTCTTATCTAAAACAAATGTTCTCTGATGAAGTAATCTGTATGAAACCAAAACGAGGTCCAGTCTTTCCCATCTGAGCTTATTATCTGTAATGTGATAACGTCCACGAGCAGCGTGTGCTATTCATAAGGTAATCATCCACGTGAGTTGCGCGAGCCTCTAAACGCCCACATCTCCTTCGTAAACAAAGAAGCAAGATTCATTTTTAGCATTCAAATATGCACTGTACGTTCAGTACAGTTCATCAATACTGTTTTCAAATGTTATCAGAACTATTTTCAATTTATTAAGGTCTTTAATGCTCACACAGTTAAACATAGCTAGCATACATACACTCAGCAAGCAATGTTGTTAATTAAACACTGTATAGGCACATTTAAATATACAATTTTCAGTGTTAGGCAGGTTTATACTAAGAATGTTAAGTTTTAGAAATGGATTCAATCTTTAAGTCAAGTTGCTGTTTTCATAACTTTGTAATATTTTTCGGTCAATATTAAATTACTGAAAGAACTACAATTTTCACTTTGAAGTGTATTTTTTTTTTAGGTTTGATATGTTTTCGAAGTAACTTGAAAGTAAAGTAATTAGTAATCTGTTTACTTTTTACATGCAGTAATCAGTAATGTAATCAAATTACAATTTTCAAGTAGTAATCAGTAATTTGATTCTTTATTAATTTGATCAAAATCTATTTTTTGAGTAACTTACCCAACACTGCTCAAGAAGTATTATATCCTTTTAGATTTTGGTTCTTAACACATTTTTCTCTTGGTATCCAAAGAGAACATGGCTCCAAATCCTAGGTGAAAATTGTATATAAAAGTGTATTACTCAATAAATATACTTGGTATTTAATATTTTGGCATTATTCTTAATTTCTGTATTTCTTTCACCAGGAAAAAAATGATCTAAATCAAAATACATTTTAGCTGAGGACTTCTGGTTGAGTTGCCACGAAATTACCCTAATTTCATTTGCACCTCAATTGATTTGCTATGTTACAGAAATTCATTAATGACACAAAAAGATACTATGAAGCCAAACTGGAAGAGGTGGACTTCAAGAAGAAATCAGAGGCTGCGCGTGTCGACATCAACAAATGGGTGGAGAAAAAAACACAAGGTGAAAACCAGCATGAATTTTAAAGGGGTCATCTGATGCTTTTTTAAAGATCATTATTTGTGTATTTGGTGTAACAGAATATGTTGACATGCTTTAATGTTCAAAAAACACATTATTTTTCAAATACTGTACATTATTGTAGGTCCTCTATGCCCCGCCTCTCTCAAACGCTTAGTTTTCTACAAAGTCCCTCCTTCCGACAAGCGCAGTCTGCTCTGATTGGCCAGCTGACCCAGTGCATTGTGATTGGCCGAGGGGGGCGTGGCAGAGTCTTAACTTTGATAAAGAATATCTCTTTGGGTTTGAGACTTTAGTCTTTGCAACTTCAGGGATCTTATCTATGCACAATCAGCTTGTAACACTCCAAAGAGAAAGGAAAACTTGAAATCGCATCATATGACCCCTTTAAAGTTACTCTATACTCTTACAAATAAAAGTTATTTCATGTTTTTTGCAGCACAGTTATTAAAGCTAGTTAAGTTATTGAGCTAGTTATTTAAAAAAATAAAATAAACACATTTTAAATAAAAATATAAAAGTTCAAACCAATGCTCAAAGTGGACAACATACATTTGTATTATAGGAAAGATCAAGGACTTGCTCCCACAGGGATCCGTCGATACAATGACGAGACTGGTCTTGGTGAACGCCATCTACTTCAAGGGGAACTGGGAGAAGAAATTCCCAAAGGAAGCCACCAGTGATGGACAGTTTAAGCTGAACAAGGTGAGATTTCATGCTCTTGTTGTTTCTTTTATGATCCAGTATTTATATATACAGTATTTTGTTTATGCAGTAACATTCATGAAATATGAGTTTCAACGTGTTTCCATTCCTGCTTGGAAGACTCAAAGTAAACCAGTGAAGATGATGAATCAGAAGGCAGAGTTTCCTCTGGCTTTAATCCCAGAGATGAACAGTCAGGTTCTGGAGCTGCCGTATGTCGGGAAGAATCTCAGTATGTTGATCATACTTCCTGAAGAGATTGAAGACGAAACCACTGGCCTTCAGAAGGTGGGACAACACAGATTATACTCTTAAAAATAAAGGTCCCAAAATGGGGTTTTCGCAGTGATGCCATAGAAGAACCATTTTCAGTGAACAGTTCTTAAAAGAAAAACATATTTTCCTAGTGCAAAGAATTCTAAATTTTAAAAATCGAAGAGATTGAAGACGAAACCACTGGCCTTCAGAAGGTGGGACAACACAGATTATACTCTTAAAAATAAAGGTCCCAAAATGGGGTTTTCGCAGTGATGCCATAGAAGAACCATTTTCAGTGAACAGTTCTTAAAAAAAAAACATATTTTCCTAGTGCAAAGAATTCTAAATTTTAAAAATCCAAAGAACCCTTTTCCACTATAAAGAACCTTCACTTTCAGTCAGTCACATTCAACGTGACGACCTGGGATCTCGCTAGAGAGACCAATCACCTTCGAGTGTTAACAAAACAAGCCAATAAGTGTTGGCTTGCGATCTTTGCGTCGCGCACCCCGCCCTGCAGTGCGGGTATATAAGGAGAGAGCGTGCAGTCGCACATTCAGCTTTTCGCTGAGGAGCAGAGCCTTTCAGCTGGTGTGGTTACCAAGCAAGAGTGTCTACAGACAGCAAAATCTTCAACAGTGTTGGTGTCATGGCGCGTCAGCGGGGGTTGTTGGTCCAGTGCTGTTGCTGTGGTGTCTTGGACGGCATGCTGCAGCTCATCATACTGCAGTTGCGCTGCGACCTCCCCTGGGCGCTTCAACAATTTTTTATCTAAAAGAGCGAATCTAAAAGAGCTCCACGCATGACGCAGAGTCTTTTTAAAGATGGCCTTCCACTCGTGTGTTTCTGGATGTGGTCGCTTCCTAGCTCCATCTGATGGTCATGATCGCTGCATCTTGTGCCTGGGCTTTAAGCACGCTGAAGCAGCGCTCGTGGATGACTCATGTTCTCATTGCGGGGACATGACCATCGCAATGTTGTGGTCGAGGCTCCTCTTCATCAACCGAGGAGGAGTCCCCCTTCTCATGCCCCGTTCTAGTCCCTCTGTCTCTCAGCAGCGGAGTACTACTTCAGCGTGTTGCCAGGGTGATCTGAGGACATCCCTGTCGAGTGCGTCTCCGCGGGCCCCTCACTCCTCCAGCACATTGCACCCACTGGTGTTCCGCGATGAGGTGGCTAAGACCCCAGACAGGGCGGAGTCTAGCATCTCATTCGGGCCTCCGGCAGATGACAGGTTGTCGATCACTGCATCGGGGGACAAGCTAGAAATGGTGGTGTTGCTCTAGGAAGAGTGGTGTTGCCCGAGTCAGATCCAGAGCTGACTGATATGCTTTCCCAGGCCACAGAGAGCGTCGGGTTGCAATGGAAACCCCCTCCATCTCCCGAATGCTCGAGGTTGGATGATTGGTTCCTGGGGGTGCCGCAGGCCGATCGTCTGCAGCCACCTCCGGTTCGATTCGTCCCGGAAATACATGAAGAAGTTACTAGATCTTGGAGGGCACCTTTTTCTGCATAAAACAGAGCTAGTGCTTCTTCCGTCCTCACTGCCCTCGACGGCGGGGTGGCTAAGGGGTATGTGGAGATCCCCCCCAGTCGAGCGCACTATTGCGATGCAGCTCTGCCCGCAAAGCGCCACCGCCTGGCGGGGTAATCCACGCCTCCCGTCCAGAGCTTGAAAGTTCTCATCTGCTCTAACAGCCAATGCTTACAGAGCTGCTGGACAGGCCACCTCCACCCTGCACGCCAGTTCCCTTCTGTAAGTCTGCCAGGATAAGGCGTTAAAGCAGCTGCACGAGGGCAGTTCTGACCCAGGGGTAATGCGCACTGCAACGGACCTCGGTCAGATGATGTCCACCCTGGTGGTCCAAGAACGCCACCTTTGGCTGAACCTGGCAAATATGAGGGAAGCCAACAAACACCATTTCCTGGACTCCCTGATCTCCCAGGCTGGCCTCTTCGGCGACGTGGTGGAAAGCTTTGCCCAGCAGTTTTCCACCGCACAGAAGCAGACGGAGGCGATCAGACACATCCTGCACCGGTGACCCGCTGCTGACATCACCCCGCCGCTGGCAGGTGGCTAAGGGGTATGTGGAGATCCCCCCCAGTCGAGCGCACTATTGCGATGCAGCTCTGCCCGCAAAGCGCCACCGCCTGGCGGGGTAATCCACGCCTCCCGTCCAGAGCTTGAAAGTTCTCATCTGCTCTAACGGCCAATGCTTACAGAGCTGCTGGACAGGCCACCTCCGCCCTGCACGCCAGTTCCCTTCTGTAAGTCTGCCAGGATAAGGCGTTAAAGCAGCTGCACGAGGGCAGTTCTGACCCAGGGGTAATGCGCACTGCAACGGACCTCGGTCAGATGATGTCCACCCTGGTGGTCCAAGAACGCCACCTTTGGCTGAACCTGGCAAATATGAGGGAAGCCAACAAACACCATTTCCTGGACTCCCTGATCTCCCAGGCTGGCCTCTTCGGCGACGTGGTGGAAAGCTTTGCCCAGCAGTTTTCCACCGCACAGAAGCAGACGGAGGCGATCAGACACATCCTGCACCGGTGACCCGCTGCTGACATCACCCCGCCGCTGGCTACAGTCCCTCTGCCCGTTCGCCACCGAGGGCACCCTCCTGCTGCCTCCACCTCCGCTCCAGCTCGGCCTCAGCAGCAGCCTTCACACACCGGCTGCAGCGTGGAGCTGGCAGCAGGAAAACGGTGCAGCGTAAAGTGCCAGAGCAAGCAGCGTTCCTGAGACGGGTGACCGAGAGACTCTGGATCCTGCTCTTCAGGAGATGGTGACCGCACCACTCCTTCCCCCAGAGGAGGGCCGGGTGGAGAATCTTTTGTTCCCTTTTTGTTTTGTTCCACCACTGGCTCCCCAGCCGGTGGTACCCAAACATTCAATAAAAGAGCAATTTCCTATTTCTCCGGGTCTCAAGAGGGCGAGGATGGCAGTGTGCGAGGCTCAGTCTCAACAATCTTGTCCCCCTCTTCATTCTCCAGCGGGCAGCAGGGCCCAGTTCGAGGACACTATGCCTTCTTACGCAACCCCTGCCCAACCGTGGAACCAGGTAAGTGTTGCACCGCATACTCAGACCCCACTCCGGTACGCTGTGCCTTCCGGGTCAGGTCCCTGCGCTCCACATCGCTGCCCCACTGCGGGTACATTGATGGTTACCCTAGTCCCACTTGTTCGGTTACTGGGGGCCTGGCTAGCGCTCCCCAGACTGTCTCGCTGGCTCACGAGAACCATCAGACTCGGCTATGCGATTCAGTCCCAAGTTCAGGGGCATTCGGTTCACCTCTGTGCCGAACAAGGACGCTCCCGTCTTGCGAGCGGATATCTCAGTCCTGCTGGCGAAGGACGCGATAGAGCCGGCCCCTCCAGTCGATATGAAGTCGGGATTTTACAGCCCCTACTCCATTGTACCCAAGAAAGGCGGTGGGTTACGACCAATCCTGTACCTGCGCGTTCTGAACCGGGCCCTTCACAGGCTTGCGTTTAGGATGTTAACACAGAAACATATTTTTTGATGCGTTCGTTCCGCACAATTGGTTTGCAGCGATCGACCTGAAGGAAGTGTACTTTCATGTTTCGATCCTCCCTCGACACAGGCCGTTTCTCCTCTTTGCGTTCGAGGGGCGAGCATATCAGTACAAAGTCCTCCCCTTCGGGCTGTCCCTGTAGCCTCGTGTCTTCACCAAGGTCATGGAGGCAGCCCTCGTTCCATTGAGGGAAATAGGCATTCACATTCCCAACTACCTCGACGACTAGCTCATACTGGCCCAGTCTCGAGCACAGTTGTGCAAACACAGGGACGAGGTACTCAGCCACCTCAGCCGGTTGGGGCTTCGGGTCAACTGGGAAAAGAGCAAACTCTCCCCCGTGCAGAGGATCCCTTTTCTCAGTATGGAGTTGGACTCGGTCAATCTAAGCGCGCCTCTCAATAGAACGCGCTCAGCCGATGCTGAACTGCCTGGAGTCATTTCAGCACAGGAGGGCGGTTCCACTGAAACAGTTTCAGAGGCTCCTGGGGCATATGGCATCCGCTGCCGCTTTCACGCTGCTCGGATTGCTTCATATGAGACCGCTTCAGCATTGGCTTCACGACCGAGTCCCGAGATGGGCATTGCAACGCGGCACTCACCGGGTCTCAGTCACTCCGCCCTGCTGCCAGACCATGGTCGGACCTTGCCTTTCTTCGGGCAGGAGTTCCCCTAGTGCAAGTGTCCAGGCATGTTGTTGTCTCAACAGAT